GTTGAACCACTAATGCTATTATAATACTCTATAATTGCCTAATATATATATATTATATATATATATATAAATATAATACACCCCCCCCGTCCACGAGAATATTTTCCAAACGTAACCGGTCCGTGGTGTAAAAAGGGTTGGAGACCCCTGTTCTAGAGGGACATCTATCACTGTTGCACTCGCGTCTCGCACAAGAGAGCCGCATGTTTAGAAAGCCATGGAAAATTAATGCAAGTTCAACTTTTTAAAAACATGTCTCAAGACTTTATAGCGGTTTTTCCCCATCTGAGTGCATCTCAAGTTTTTAAATGAAGAAAGTTCTCTTTGTGATTGGTTTTCGGTCCTTTGTATTAAACTATACATACATGCATGATTCTGTTTTGTTTCTAATTGTTTAAGCAACTTTAATTATATAAGGTTTATAAACATTATTTTAAACATTATGCACTTTTTTCAAAGATAGTCGTGTTATTTTATTATGCTTTGAAGAAACGTGCATAATATTTCGTTCGATGCGCCCTCTTGTGGCCTCAGGAGAGAAGCCAAAATCTTTTTCCCCCCTAACTGAAATTATGCCTTTTAAATTCGAATATAATTCGAATATTGATAATATTTAAGTACAAAATTCAAATGTAGTTTTTCAGTCATTTTGACAGCCCTAGGCTACATACAGAACATCAAGAGCAGCACCTGTCACTTGACTAATGAGAGTGACCATTAGAGTTAATTATTAATCATTTTAAATTCATAAGAAAATAATGAACTTTAACTAGTTAGGGTACCGCATAAATCTAGGCAGGGTAAATCATAAATCCCCCATGCCAAACATTAGGCTATGTGTTAATTAAGACGTATTTCTAGAATGATGAAAAATAGCTGCAAACTATTTGCCTTTGATTTATTGTACCTGCTTCACAATATGTTGATAACCATGAAGTAGCCGTTTCATTTGCCAACAACAATGAAATCTGCAAAACAACCAAAGACAAGCACAAGAAAATGTAATAATATTAATAATAATCATTTTGGAATCATTTATCAAATAAAATGGTAAATAAAAAAAAAATAAAAAAACAGAAAATAATAAAAATGTACTGTTTATGAGTGACTTATTTATACTGGCTCAACATTATATACACAAATTTAAATGGAATGAAAAAGCCTTGGAGCGGTTTAAAAGCATTTTGGTAACTTTATCAAAAAATACAAATATGAAATTGATTTTATAGTATTTTTGCTTACAATATAGAATATTTTGTTATAAGTGTAACTGAGATTTATTAATTAAGACATTTTATATATGACTATATCTTGTAAATGGTCTAATGTTCTTCACGTTGATATTTTGTTTGATGTTGTTTATGTTCTCTGCTACCTTAATAAAAAAGGCAATAACATATACACCGACATAACATTTGACGACAACCAAAGACAAGCACAAGAAAATTTAATAATATTAATAATAATCATTTTGGAATCATTTATCAAATAAAATGGTAAATAAAAAAAAATAAAAAAACAGAAAATAATAAAAATGTACTGTTTATGAGTGACTTATTTATACTGGCTCAACATTATATACACAAATTTAAATGGAATGAAAAAGCCTTGGAGCGGTTTAAAAGCATTTTGGTAACTTTATCAAAAAATACAAATATGAAATTGATTTTATAGTATTTTTGCTTACAATATAGAATATTTTGTTATAAGTGTAACTGAGATTTATTAATTAAGACATTTTATATATGACTATATCTTGTAAATGGTCTAATGTTCTTCACGTTGATATTTTGTTTGATGTTGTTTATGTTCTCTGCTACCTTAATAAAAAAGGCAATAACATATACACCGACATAACATTTGACGGCCATCATATACAAAAACTACTTTTAAAGAAATACTATTGCAATCATACTTTGCCTGTTTCATCTGACGATCAGCCGGTAGAGATATTCTTATCCTTAAGTCTTTTTCCGGTCAAAGATAAAATAATGAGAAAAATGTGACACTTGTGACAATCGGTTCACCTTCTGGTACGATCCACACGACACATTACACAGTCTTATTTAGTATGACTGTGAACTGAGATGTGAAACTTTTCTTATCAGTACTGTGATGAACCCGTCATAGACTGTCTTCTCCTTATTAAGCGGAATAATCATAGGACTTTCTCTCATCAGCAAACAGTTCATGATGAAAAGTAAGTATGCCAAAGCACAGGCTGAATATAAACCGCTAGCTAAACACCTATTTAGATGTCTGGACAATAAACTAAACCATATAAACACAGACTAACGCTTTATAGGCAGAACACTACTGTCAGAAGCTTTATCCGCTGTTGTGATACAGGCAAAGCGAAAGTAACTTCCCGCGGAAAGACTCAAGCGTCGCTGACGCTGACGTCATTAAAGTTTGAATGACCGAACTTTATTTGAACTAATTTGCAAAAGAAATTAATAACCAAATGTATCTCTGCAATATATTAGCAGTGTACACGAACAGAATCCCTCAACATCTTGTAAAAGACGTGCTATTGTATGACATATAAAGTTTAGTGGTATGCTGCGTTCACGCCATATCGTAATTACCGTAATTTCGAGATGACAGCACGTGACGTTCTACTCGGAGCTGTTCACGTCCTCGGACTCGGAAATATGCTTCTCTATGGCAACACTATCAACGCCTAAACAGAGCCTGCGGTGAAAGTTCCAACAGACACTGAGCTGGTATTTTAAGGTAAACCGTTAGAAAGAGTTCGTTTTTAAATATCTGGGAATTTGGTTTGATGAAAGTTATACTTGGAAGAAACATATTGAAGAAACAGATAAAAAATGCAGGAAATTTTTAAATGTGATGAGATCAGTTGCTGGAAAAGAGTGGGGAGCAGATAGAGAAACTATGTTAACAATATATCAAGCCCTGATTAGATCTATACTTGACTATGGATGTATGGTGTATGATGCAGGATCAGCAACATTGTTAAGGAGATTAGATAGAATACAATACAGAGCACTCAGGATATGTCTAGGAGCAACTAAAACAACTCAATGCACTATTAGTAGAGGCAAATGAAATGCCATTAAGTTTACGTAGAGTAAAATTGTCCCTAGTATATTGGACACCAATGCTGGACACCAATGCTGGACAATGCTGTTCACCAGTCATGCTGGAGAACATATTTCTAAAGATGTATTGAATAATTGTTGGGAATATACAAAGGAAAAAGGGAAGGGTTTTGGATGGAATATTAATCAACTAGCAGAAAGATATCAGATTGCAAATATAGAATGTAGTATGTCTCCAGTATGGGGCGAGGTACCAGCTTGGTTAATTCCTGAAGTTAAAATTGATTTGGAAATACTAGACAAGAAAAGGGACTTGGAGGAAATGGGTAATATTAAATATATGGTGAATAGACATTTACAGCAAATATTTTATGCGAGTACGCATATTTATACAGATGGATCAAAAGACCCAAATATAGGGCTTGCAGGAATAGGAGTTTTTATCCCGGACTTGAATGTATCAATAACTAAAAGAGTATCATCTCACACTGATGTTTTTCCCTCAACATTTAAACAAGCTCGTATAACCCCACTTCTTAAGAAACCCACTCTTATGCCGAGTTCACACTGCACGATTTTCAAACTCGTCGGATCGCCGTTGTTTTCACACTGCTTGACTATCTGGGGTAGCATTCAGTTGCTGCTGTGTTCACATTGCACGACGGATTGGCGACAGGAGGCTTCACACTGCATGACTTCACAATAGGAAGAATCGCCGACAGCTGTGTCTGGTCCGCAAACTATGTTTCACAACAAAACACACGCGAGAAGTGATAAAGAGTGTTCACACTGCACGTTGGATCTGCGACAGGGGGTTTCACATTGCATGACTTTACAATAGGAAGAATCGCCGACAGCTCTGTCTGGTCCGCAAACTACATTTCACAGCAAAACGCACGTGAGAAGTGATAAGGAAATAACGCGAGAACCCACGTGCGTCAGACCGGAGTTCTCGCAAGCAAGACTGTAATTATAAAAAAAAAATATATATATAGCCTGCAAATTGTCTGTGAGCTCATTTCCAGCTACAAGGAGAAAAAGAAAAACAGATTACGCAGGAGGGATTGTCCACCCATCATTCATGTAGAGAAGACTTAAGTGAAATATTGACATTATCATGGCGTGTGCCGTGTACAAAGAAAAGGTGTATTAGTCGGTTTCTGCTGGGTGCCAGCACATGTGGGCATATTGGGAAATGAAACAGCTGATAAATTGGTAAAAGATGCTTTAAAAAAGGAAGAAGTAGATGTTAATGTTGCTTTAAGTAGGTGAAGTCAAAACTATAATTATGGAAAATATTTTAAAGGATTGGCAAGAAATATGGAATTCAGATAATAAGGGGAGGCATTTACTTAATATTTAAAAAAATGTTAATAATAAATGAAACATTAGTGGTAGAAACAGGAGGGAACAAGTCATTATAACAAGGATGAGACTTGGACACACAGGACTGAATGCATCACTATTTATTACTGGAGTACATGAGAATGGTTTATGTGAGTATTGTGGGGAAAAAGAAACAGTAGAGAGCATGTAATATACGATTGTAAAAAAATATGATGAAGAAAGAAAGGAATTAATAACATACTTAAATAAAAAGGGAAAGGTAAATAAGGATTTTGGGTACTTGTTAGGATATGAGTTTAATAAAATTTGAAAAAATGTTTAAAAAATTACATTTATAGTACAGGGTTGAGTGAGAGGATTTAAAATCAAACAGGGATGCTGTAGCCTGATCAGGATTTTAGGGAACCAGGGAAGTATTCTGGAGGAGCTGGAGACGCAGCGCCAGATGGGTCCCTGGAACCTGGGAATCTGGTAAAGGGAAGAGTTTATGGAGAATTATATTTTTTATTTTTTTTATAAAAATAAAAATTTTTCCTTTTTTATGTTCATAATTCACTTTGAATATAATAGCTAACATGACTGCACAACAGCAACGTACTGTAGGTGGTGCTATACATTTAGATTGTTATGCGCCAAAAAACTAAAGAAGAAGAAGAAGAACTTGAAGTGGAAAAGAAACGACAGTTCTGAATGGAGGCGTCGTAGCTCTCAGAAAACTCCCAGTTCTCAAGTTGTAATTACGAGTTCTACGAGGACGTGAATGCTTTTTATAAGTTGGAATCTTGTAATTACGGGAATTCCAATATGGCGTGAACGCACCATTAGTTAATCACTTGATGGGTGTTTATATTCGCTTAACCAAAATCAAAACAAGCAAACTACACACAGTGCAACAGGTAACGTTAGGCTAAAACGCCCCATGTGACGCAATTATTCTAGAAGCATTTTGCAGCAGTAAAAACACAGTTTTATGACTTCTGTTCTCCAAACTAAAATTCCAGTATCATCATATTTTTGTTGTATCTGCTGGGTGAACAAGTGAACGCAATAAACCCAGACTTGCATATATTAGACAACAAGATATAGTCAACTAACTTATGAAGAGCTTTAACAGTATTTTCAGGACTGATATTTTCAGGTAGGTAGTTGTCACGTTTTTATCAAACCATACATTATTGTAGTAATTATTTGTTCAAATCGATCGATGCTATTGTATGTTACCTTTTACATGTTCGCTGTTTCATGGATAGTTTGTATTTCATAAATGTTTTCCTTTTATACTTTTGTTGTTACTAGGCTATCAGGACATCTTTTTTTGATTCGATTGAATCATTTCGAACTTTTTTTTTATGTATTTATCCTGTAATTATAGAAGAGGTGCTTATTTTTATTTACATTTATTTATTTATTTAAGAAAAAGAGTATGTGTTTATTAAATTAATTAAAAATGAACTGATGAGAACTGGATCAAGGCGTGTTTCAGTGTATGACGTTAAATTAACTTTATTTGTTTTCACTGGGCAAGATGGTGGAAACCTTAATTACTATTATTTATTATTATTATTTATTATTATTATTATTTGTAGCCAAGATTATGTGTTTAGACTGATTCAGAGAAATACTCACTGGACTAAATAGCGTGACACATACAGTAGCCAGAATCTCACAAATATCAGCATATCAGTTGTTCTCTGACAGGTTTCCAGTGTGGTAACACCCCACTTAAAAAAATATTTTCCCCCAATAGACTATAGCACCTGTCTTGCATTAATACTTAGGTTAAAATATAAACAGTGAAAAAGAACTTTCCCCTGCCCTTATCATTTTCTGCTCAGATGCTATGGATGCAGATGTCTATGGATGGATGTTTTGGTGTCTAATTCCCCCTACATTAAGCCTCACAGGCTCTAATATACTGTGTGTTTTTAATCCAAAAATGCTCAAATATTCAGTAAAGCTGCCTTTAAGCAAACACACATCATTACAGCTGAGAGTCCTGTATTGGAGTGTGTGATTGTATATTGCTTGTGTAGAGTGTCAAGCGTGCGTGCTACACATTGTGCCTGGAGAGATTGATGTTTTGTCATCCACCTGCTTCTAAGCTGTAAAAGCAAGCGCAGCAAAGGCAAACCTACCCAGCTTCAAAATCCAAACAAAGAAATCTTAGTGGGCTGTTTACATATCTGTGGAAGGATATCTGGGCTTGTGTTGACGGGGTGCTAGAGTGGTTGAGAGATCAGTCCCCGCACAATGGGTGAGTGTTAAATGCTTTTTTGTTTGCGACAGTGAGGAACAATTTAAAGCGATTTTGGCTCTGGCTGTGGTTTGGAGAGGGTGAGCCTGGCAACCTCACATAGGGAGAGAGAGAGAGAGAGAGGTTCCTATTTCCCTTCACATGCAGATTGTTACAGCCATACACTGCACAGGGTTAATGGCAGTCCTGAATAAAGGATTTAAACAATTATGCTTTTCGGAATTGATGGAGAAACGCTGATTATTTCTTTTCTCCTGCTATTGCCTTATTCCTGCGGCATCTGCCTTTCTTTTATACCTTTTGAGGAGCGTGATCTATTGTGCATTGTTTATCTCCAGCCATGGTCACTTCTCTGGAATGCAATTGGCTAGAACTACATCGTGTGGGTCTTGCTCCCTGCTTTTTTTTCCCCCTCTCCCTCTCTCTCTAACAGATTCTTTTGAAGCGAGACAAGAGCAGGGGTGGCCGATTTATCGCACCTCTCCCTCTCCTTACCATGCATTCATCTGAATGAGAATAAGGAGCTATTGTTCTTTTCCGATCTCGGTAGACAAGCTTTAGTGCTGTTTTTACGAACCGGTTTGAAAATATATCGTTATTGCTAGACTGTGGATCGTGAGATCCTTTTATAGGTGATGATTTATCTGAGCTTCCTTCAGTTTCTCATATAAGATCAGATTAGAACGTTCTTGATTGTAATGCATTTTATATTTAGTATTTGTAAGTTTTAGAGGACATTTCAGAAAATGAATATATTAAGTATATTGTATTTTTTAGTAGTATTATAGTATTTTTTTTACTAATATAATATAACATTAAAATAACATTATTATTTTTACATAGTTTTTAGATAATGCTAATTAGATAAATTATTCATATAATATTTTTGCTATATGTAATTTTGAAATTTTATATCTGTTTATATAATTTTATTATAGTATGTTTTAAATTAAAAATGTAGATTTATATGTTTACTTTCTCAGCCCTGAACACCTGTGCATACTAAGCAGACAGTGAGAATGAACCACTATGATGTAGACTTTGGCATGTGTATTAGTTGCAGCTTTACCAGAGCTCCCATAGCTGCCCATTATTTGAATGACTGGTGTAATGAGACGGATCAAACCCGGTGCTGAGCTGACCAGGGAAGCCGTGCATGTCAGCTATTTGGCCAGGGTCCTGGACCATCATTACACTTTCTTTATGGAGCCATTCAGACTGTACATGAAGCACAATATGTCAGTGGAAATTAAAGTGTCCCAGCACTCTCTCCTCGTTCCTGATCATTTACCGTGCACACTGGCCGTTAGCATTTGCGTGTCTGTAATGGGACACCTTCCCATGTCTCACCACCAGCCACATACTTCAAAGTTATATACTGCTTGGATATAGTTCACCAGTGGCTAAAAGTCAAAAAAGGATAAAAAAAAAAAAAGGAAAAGAAATATCAGATTGTACCTTGCTGAATGTCTACAATTATATTGTTTAATTTCAGTGTGCCTGCTATTATTGAAATTGACTTTCAAAAATACTTAAAAATGCCTTAATTCTTCAAAATACTTATTTTTTTCTGTATTGCTGTTTATGTTATTATGAAATGGCATATCATTTTTTTTTATTGTTTTATGTGTTTCAACACACCTGCTAATATAGAAATTGACTTTCAAAAATAAAAGGAAAATAAAAAGTGTGGCAACTAGCCCCAGTCCCCCTATATTGTATGTGCCAACTGTAGAATTGACTATAGGAATTAGCTGAATTGCTTATCCAATTATGCTTAGCTGTTAGCGCACTGGCACCCATCCACTGCAGTGTGTCTGAATGCACACTACGGCTAATTTGCTGTATCACGCTCTGGACCAAACCCTTTTCTTGTGGAGGTGAGGCAGGCAGTGTGAAGACTTAGCCTGGATTACAGGACTTCAGAGATAGCGCTGAATCCAGCCTCCTGTCTGACATGAATTGATCGGATTAGAAAGGGTGGATTCCATCCTTGAGGGGAAACCAAGCACGTTGTATATAATTGACTTTTTTTCTCCCTCCATGTCTTGTGGGTTGGCAGTGCTAGCAGAAGGGAATACTTTAGTGGGTAAATATCAGAAAGGACTCGGGTTTGACCAGGTTGGTGGAGGCTTAGGAGTCCGATCGATATCGCTGGTGTTGAGTTGCAGCGGCAGCCCAGGGACACGGCGCAGAGGAAGCGTCTCTGCGAAGTGTCCCAGCACTCTCTCCTCGTTCCTGATCATTTACCGTGCACACTGGCCGTTAGCATTTGCGTGTCTGTAATGGGACACCTTCCCATGTCTCACCACCAGCCACATACTTCAAAGTTATATACTGCTTGGATATAGTTCACCAGTGGCTAAAAGTCAAAAAAGGATAAAAAAAAAAAAAGGAAAAGAAATATCAGATTGTACCTTGCTGAATGTCTACAATATGGGAGACTGGGGCTAATTGTCACACTTTTAAAATATCTAGTTCAAAACCCTCTTAAATTAAAATATATTTTTTTGTAAGTTATGTCAACCAAAGTAATTATAGCATAATATCTTCACCTTATGTTTAAACAAGTGAATATAATGAAACATTCAGACAAGAGTCAAGTATATAATGAAGGTAGATTTTAATTGAAAGATCAGGTCAGGTTGAGGCAAGTTGTCACGTATTTTGAAGTTGTAAATTTGTACAGTTTATTAATTACAGTATTTGTGGCTAAAACAATTGTTTGATATTTTTTGTTACTTTTTATGTTATCGTGAAATGGCATATA